CCGCCGCCGCCGCCGCCACCGCCTCCGGCGAGTTCGAGGCTCCCCCCGGCCCCGCCGCCCCGCTCCATACTGTAGAAGGTTAACGTCGTGTTGACTGTTCCTTACTACTCGGTGACACGATCAATCTGGCCCCGCGAGAGGCCACGAAACAGCGCGAATTAGTTCGGCCGTCGATTCTTTTTTTTACGGAGACATGCAAGCGTCTCTTCTGCGTCTCGCGGATTGTGCGTCGCAGAAAAAATCTGTCCGATCACTGGGTGTTGGTTTTTTTTTTTTTTAAAAACGTTGTCCGATCACAGGCAACGTTTGTTGTTTTATTTTGTAAAGAATATCACGTTGTTTTACGGAGAGTTTTCGTACGTATCAGAGATTCTCTCAGTCTTCCGTCGGCTGTGAATCTTCGATGGCGATTAATAATAAAAGAATTTTATTCACACATTCTTTCGTCATATATATATATATATATATAAATCTCTCTCTGTAAGATCACGTTTGCGATTTGCTTTCCAACTTATTCAGAAATCCTCGTACCGCATTCTCTAATCAAGTTGATTAAGAGGTAAACGTACGCGCCGTCGGAGAATCCGACGAGATTCCGTGTAAGAATATTCGAAAGCAAACGCGTGAAATTCACTCGTGATAGATGATATAAAGTTGTTACCCGCGGGAAACTGATAAATCATCGGCAACACGTCGCCCGCGCGTTACGTAAGAAACACGCAGTTTTAATCAACTTTTCCGCGCGCTGCTGAGAGAGAGAAGTAGGTTAAACTATCATCACTATCATTCCATCTCATAGGTGACAAGTAACAAAGTTTCCACTTTGATGAAAACTCTTGTGTCTTTGTTTGTATCTTACGTCTCTCGTTTTCCTTTGATTTTCACGTTTTTTTTTTTGTATTTCGCGCGCAAGTTTTTTGCTTAAAAGATTTGATCGGAGTAGAGGATTGTTCCGCGATTCGGAGCACTGTGCGGATAAATTAAAAACACAAAAAGACGTGATTGAAATCTGACGTGTGCAACAATTCTTCACACTAAGCCGATCACAACTGTGATCGCCAACTCACTCTTATATATGCAAGCAGGACGTTCACCAAGTGAAACAACAATCATTTTCCATCACTTGTCAAAGTGATCGAGCAACTTGACGCGAGCGACGGACGGAAACACGGCACCTATATATGTTATCACTACTTCCGGGTCCTGAGGCTTCACTCCGGCGCGTGGCACGAAGGCGACTGGATCTTCTCCTCGTGATTGTTGTTCGCCGCAGACGAACGCCGACGTTTTCCGTCACCGCACGAGCGCGTGACGATGATGACGACGATGATGATGACGACGATGATGATGATGATGATGACCGCGCGGCACTTGTCACTACTCGCACCTTCGCCCTTGACGTATGGAGAAGCGCGGAGCGGGACACGGCGATAGAGGAAAATTATAAGAAGGCGGCGGCGGTGCCGCCGGTCGCAGCGGTGTATTCCGATTTTCCCGCCGGTGGATGGAACGCGCGACGTAGTGGCTACCGGCGCCGCGTAAGTCGGCTGGTAGGTGGGTCCGCCAGGCTTAGCCAGTTGAGCCTTTCGGACTGCCTGCCGGCTTAAGTCTCTAAGTCGGTAAGCCGAGCGGATCTAGTGGTCTTGGCTGGTGCACTGGCTGCCTGGTAGCTTGCCTGCCTGGCTGCCTGGTTGCCTGACTGTCTGACTGCGCCTCTCCCTCCGACTCTCGTTCGCACTTACTCCCCTCCATGCGGATCTTCGCCTCTACACCCGGAGCCGGACTCCCCACCAGCGTGTATTTTGCTACGTACTCGCGAGAGTCGGAATCGCTTGTTCTGTCGCGCGCACCTCGCTCGCTCGCTCGCTCGCTCCCCTTGGCACGATCTCTCACGCTTGTGCCCGCGCGCGCTCGCGTCTTTCCTCCCTCGGAGATCGTCGCAACTTCGATCCCCCGTCTATTTCAACATCGTTGCGCCGCGCGATTTGTTTCTCCTGCTCCACATGTACATACGCATCCTTCGTCCACGTAGAACGAGTTACCTCGCGGATCTCTTGACGCCGTCATCTTGTTCCTCTTCTGCGTTCTCTTCAGTGTATCTCCTCAACGTCTTTGCCACAGCATCTTTTCTTCCGGAATAACGCGTAGGATATTCTTCGTCCGCCTTGTATCTAAAATTCGGTCCTAACCAACCCTCGTGGTCGCATGTTCATTGTCTTTTTTTTTCGAACCTCTTCTTTATTTTCTCGGTCATCTCGCGTGTATTTTTCACTCCCGCTGCGATCTTTTACGTATCTTTTCGCAAGCGTGGTCACTCCGGTTACATCAGCGATGTGCACCGTGTCACCCCTTCCGGGGGTCCATCTCCCTACTCTCGGATTCCAACCCCCCACCTTTGTGACCGTGGATTCGCCCCACCCTTCGGTGGCGCCGATAGTGGCGGCGGCGGCGTGCTCGCCTCTCTTCGGCCGAAAACGCACACGCACACGTGGTGTGTTTTCTCTCTTCCTTTCTCTCTCTCTCTCTCTCTCTCGAAACAACGACGGCGATCTTTTGCGGATCTTGCCGTACTACGGACGCGCGCGATTATCGTTTGTTGTTTCTCCCGATCTACCTCCCGCTATCGCCTTGACCATACGTAAGATCGCGATTCACGCCGACAAAGCAGTGTGTCTCAGAGAGATTACCCTTCGCCTTTGCCACAAAACGCGCTGTTACATCCCCATTTTTTGTTTACTTAAAAATTCTCGCACACGCGCGAACAAAACTGGATCTATCGTTGCGCGCTCCTATTTCCATCAGAAAGTCGCATCTGCTATTATCCGCGCGGTTTACAGTGGAAAAGAAAAAGGTAACATAGAAATCTAATATAGAAATCAGAAATCAACATTCTATAAATAACTGTTCCAATAATCAGAGTTTATTGATTTCCTATACAATTACAAATGTGGTCTTGATACAATCGCGCGCTATCGCAAGCCGATAACTTTACAACTATGTTTTTTTATCATTTGTATCAAATGTTATAGTTGTGTGTTTGTAATCAACCAGTTAGTGTTACGCTCAGTTATCGTTCGACTTATCAGTCGGGACAAATATCAGTTTGCGTTCCGACATCTGAAGTGTCATGTATTGGGGCGTTCTCTATTCGATTCAAGAGAGGTGTGCCTCATCGAGCGCACGTCTATGCTCCCCCAGTTTACGATATATGTATACGCGTGCACGCTTGCGCAAGAAAATGCAAATCTTGAGGAAAGGCAAATTTCCAGCTGCTTGAGTTACTGCCGAGCGACATGGTTCGCATTCGTGTACGGTGAATGAATTGATCTCCGAGTTGTGAGAATTTATTATGTGTTGCAGTTTTCTTTTTTTTTCTCTCTCTTTTTTCCTCAATAATTTTTTTATATTTTTGATTTTTAAAATTCATGGAGAACACAACGATCTCGGAATGTACCATATCGAATAACACAAATATATTGAAAATAGTTCTGAATGCAACGGACAAAACTTGTTTTTTATTTAATATATTTAAAAATTAAAAAATTTATCAAATCCAGACAAAATTTATACATCTCTATAATTAAATCAAATTGTTATTTCTTATGTAATCAGCGATCACATATTGCAATAATAACCGAGTACGCAACATATACTAAATTTTCTTTCGAAAAACTTTGAAGAGTTGACAAATTCTAAATCCGATAGCAAGGTTCAAGGGGGTTCGGAGACAAAGTAGGCCGCGCAAAATCGTCACCGGGAAGAACGTCGTGACTGGCATCAAGAAGTTGTCAAGCAACGCGAAACAACTCGAGGGAAATGACGAACGCGAGAGTATGCAGAAGAGGAAAAGGCGAATATAAAGGGAGAACACACACCGGAAGGAAAACGGAAAAAGGACGGAGAGAGAGAGAGAGAGAGAGAGAGTGGCTATCGGTGGCATAAAGAGCGGAGATGGGTGTGAGAGGAGGGATGTGCGACTCTAAAGCACTCAATGGAGGAGAACGCGGGTTGCGCGCGGAAAACGAAGAGCGCGATACGAAAACGGGGGTTGTAGCGGCAGTACATACGTCAAGCTAGGAACAGAGCGCCATCCTGGGGATCCCCTAACGCCTCGGGGAAAGTAGAGGAGACAAATGACAAGATGGCCACGCCTACCGCGCGGGCCGCGTGGGCGTTATTTGCCGGTGTGTGCGTGTGACTTCCCAGAGTTGAGAGCCAGAGTGGGAGTATCCACATCGACGATTTGGTGGGACATAGGAGCGAGAGGAAAGGAGCAAGAGAAAGAGATACAGAGAGAGAGAGAGAGAGAGAGAGAGAGAGAGAGAGAGAGTGAGAGAATGTTACAGTGTACAAGAAACGCGTGAGTGCGGGGTGGGACGTGTTTACCAGGGTGTCTCCTGATTTTTGAAGCGACCGACCGAGTTATATGAACAACTCACTGAGGATGCGACGTCGTCCGCGACCAAAAAATCGTGGAAACTACCTTACCTCGGGTAAATTAAAGTCCAAGATGATAGTCCCGAGGATGGATTCCGGATAAAATATATAGCGTTCAAAGTTGCATTGGCGAGGAAAATAATTTATGTCTTCTATCTCGTTGCATCGACGTCTTATGAGACGTTTTATTTTTTTTTTTTTTATAATATTGGCAGATTTATTGACATATCGACATGTTTCAATATATTTTAGTGATATTTAATATTACTTTGAATTAACAAAATTGCAGTATACACGTGCGCATGTGCGGTGAGATGTATCTTAAAATAAGATAACAAATAGATCTTTTAAAACGGAAGAATCAGGAAAATTTTTCTTTGTATCACCATAATTATTGCAATTCGGTAATAAATATAAGGACTACGCGTAATCTATTATCTATGTGTGTGTAGAAGAACCACTCGTGTGTGTATGTGTACGGCACACACACGGATTTTGCGGCTAGCCTCAATGTTGAGGCTGTCACATACGATTGCACCCTCTATTCGGTATTAGTCTCTCTCGATCAACGTTCAGTTCTGACTGCGTTTCGACAATCCTGTTCTATCGGTGGTTAAACTTTCCGCAATGTGTTCTGTCGACGCAGTTTTTCTCCATCACAGATATCTAATATACTCTGTACTCGACACACGTATAAAGTATATTCACGTTGTAAAAACTGTAGAATAGAAGAGATACATTTGTTTTATTTTTAATATTTAAAAAAGCGTATCGGTGGTTCTTTTATCTTCTCTGCCCCCCCCCCCCCCCATTTAGTTTATCGTCTTATCTGGCGTTTTTGTTTTATATAAAAATTACAAACAATAACACTTATGTAAATAAAATACTTGGATAAAAATATTTAACACATCTTTCTATAAAACTTCAAACTGTGGAAAGAGAGTTTAAAAAAAAAATTAAAATAATCTTAATATTAATTTATATACATGTAAGGGTGATCAACTTTTAAAATTATCAAGACCAGTAAGAGTTTTGGTTTTTATCTATTATTCTATCAATGTTTATAATAATGCCAATATTACGAAAAAACTTTGTAATTAAGCACTTACATGAACAAAACAAAATTGCAAAATCGGGAGAGTACTAGATTAATTTGTTCTAATATTTCGTATAACTTAAAGTTTTTTTATCTTAACGAGCTGGGGTAAAACAAGAACCTTGCATTGTCTAATTAACATCCGTAATTTCAATTATTACTTCGCGTCATACTACGCGAAATTGTTATTTGTACTTGCCATTTGTTCGATATCGGCGACAACCATAAACTAAGTTATTGCCGGGATGTCATAAAAGGATAAGATAGGCATTTATCAGCTACGAGCGGTTGCTCGCAAATACACATCTGACGTTAAACATTTGCTAGAACGATTTTTTGCCAAAAGATGTTAATATAAAAATCAATAAGAAAAAGACTCGGTGAATCATATTGTAAATTGTGTGCGTTGCAATTTGAAAAATAATATAAATGTCAAAAAATAAAAATTTAAAAGTAGTTAATTAATAACTACTATTTCAATTTAATACTATTTCTCGATAAAATTGTGAAATGTCTGTTTTATTTAATGCATTTTATATATAATGATTTTGCATATTTTTACTGACTGAAAATTGCCTTTTATTTCGTAAGATATACATTTGTGTTGCATATTAAATTTTTATCTTCTTTCGATGAGGCACATGACATTGATTATGTTCAGATAATTCTTCTTGTGTATAAGCATGAAATATTCAGAAAACGATTTTTTCCGTTTCAAAATTGACTTTCACAATGAAAATTTATAACTTTTAAGTGCAATCTTTTCAAAAGTTTTTTAACACCGATTGTTTTAATTCGAGAAATCTTTTATGATTATACAGACCGCTGTTAAACACATTGAATAACAAAATAAAAATTTGTTTCCAAACAGAAAAATGAAAGAACAGGAGGAAAGGGAGGAGAGGTATCTTCTCAGTTTATATTCGAGAAAATATCGACTTATGATAGGCGGGATAAGTCGGTCGGTGCGCGAGTGCCGTAAAAGATCTATCGACGGCACAGAACGTTTCTATGACTGCAAGTGAGCAGATCAATTGCCGCCGCCGCCGCCGCCGCCGCCGAGACGTGACTCGCTCGTGTTTTACTAGCGATAGTAAACGCCCGTCGCGCAAACAATCGATACCTGGTGCGGAATATCGTTTTTGAGATTCGTATCTGTCGTCGCGCGCGATAAGCGTCCTTCTTTGTGCCCGCGCGCGTTCGTCTCCGCCGCCTCCTTCACCTTCTTCCTCCGCCGAATCCCAACAAAGAGGCCTCGGAGGCTACGAAGGTAAAGAGGTCGCATTCTTCCGATTTTACAATCCTCCCTTATCTCGCTGCGTTCTCGGAATACGATACGCATCTCGTGATATGCGCTTATTGCAGGATAATCGATTTGCCGATTGTGTGACCAGTTTCATCCGCTTTGACATTATCGCCAAATATCGTTCAAATCCGATGCGCATGTGTGCACTTGAATGAGAGAAGTGATTTTGTTTTTAGACACTGATTTGATATAAATATCCGATTGTGCACTATGTTATTAAGCTTATGT